TTTCTGATATTTTTTACTTTCTCATTACTCATAGCTCCAAATTAATTTGAAGATAATGTATATGGGTCTATTGAACATGTGAGAAAATAGGAGTAGAAAAACTTCACTAATGTTACTAACAGCACTAACAGTAATGGGGAAAGTCAAATGGAGGAGTTTAAATTAAAAAGTTTTAACATAAATGTTGTTTTAATTTTCTAAGTACATATTGCTGTTGTACTATTCAATGTAAGTTTGCTGAGAGTAGTTTCAATAAGTAAAAGAGACTGCCTGAAGACTGCCTCTACTTATTTAGATCATTTTCATTTCCAGTCTTCTACACTAACAAATTTGTTCAATTTTTTTTTAAGTGGGCACTATTTAAAAATGCTTGAATACTGTTTGGTTAATTGGGTTTAATATTTCCCTGAAGTCTTATATATACTTTTTATCTGCTTAAAAAGACTTGCTTTAAAAGATAATTGTACCTGACAATTTTGCATTGCTTTATAGTTTTCAAAGTGCTTTTGTATTCTACAGTTTGTTCTTTAAAATAAAACCCTGGTCTCAATCTAAACACTTCCCTTATCTCTCATGTGCTCAGTCAACTCACTATAATCTTCTGGCCAACTTACCTCTGAAGTATTTGTGGATGTCTACCCTTTTCCATCTTGCTGCCATCAGTCACATCCAAGCCCACAGCTTGGCATCCATGGATTCTGCTTTGACCTCTCATTATCTTCTCTCTTATACAACCTCAATCGGTTTACCTCAGTCTGTTTTCACAACAAGACTTATTTTACACAAATCTGATCCCATGCCTCTCTCTTACTATTCTCCATATCACTTCCATTATTCTGATGGACTAGAAGGGACTGTGTGTCCCAGTGATTCTCTTACACTTCTCTTGTAGCATCTGTGAATCTTCTCAGTCTTCACTAGACACTAGGCTATCCTAGTTCTTCTGCACCAGCCATACTGGGTTCCTCTTAGTTGTAAAATACCTCATACCTAGAGGTCTTTTTTTATTGAACTTTTGAAAATTTCATGCACTATATTTTGATCATATTTACAGCCTCTCCCCCATCTGCATCCCCTTACTACCCCCACCCAGTTTTCTGTACACGAATATATATATATATGTGTGTGTGTGTGTGTGTGTGTGGAGAGAGAGAGAGAGAGAGAGAGAGAGAGAGAGAGAGAGAGAGCCAAATTTGTGTCCCCAAATGCCCTTCAGTCTGGATCAATCCACTGGAGCCTGGTTAACTTACTAAGAGTCACACCCTTAAAAGAAATTGACTCTCCCCTTCCCAGAAGCCATTGGTTTCCAATAGTTATTAAGGAGGGTTAGAGTTCCTTACCCACTTCCCCACATTTGTGCTGGAATGTTGTCTGGCTTGAGCTTCCTTGGTACTGTGCAAACTATCACCATTGCTATGAGTTCAATTGAGTAGCTTTCCAGCTGTCTGGAAAGCTAAGTCCTTGTGGTCATTTACCACCTCTGGCTCTTACACTTTTACTGCCTCTCTTCCCTGAGCCTTTGCAGAAGTTTGATATAGGTGTCCTATTCAGGGATAAGCACTCTGCAGTCTCTTATGCTCTGCACATTCACCGGTTGTAAGTATGTGTGTTAGTCACCATCTGTTGCGTAACAAAGCTTCTCTGGTGAAAGTTGATAGATGCATTAACCTGTGGGTGTAGCAGTAAGTCTTTTGATGCGTTATTCCTTCTGCCTAGAATGCCTTCCCACCACTTCTGGTTTGCTTTTCCTCTAGTCAGGCTTTAACAAAATCTCACCTTCTCAAGGACACCTTTGGCCACTTGTTTTAGGTTATATACCTCCTTATAATTTTTCTCAGTGTAGTCCTTCCTTAATACTCAGCAAAATGGCAGCTCATGCTATTGAACCCCTTTTCCTTTTCCACTGTAACTCTGTGGAAAGTTTTTCCCATTTTGAGATCAAACCTTAACTGTCATTCTTGAGTGGGTGCCACTCTGTGAAGAAGGCATTCCTTTACTACTCTTTTTGGCAAAATTTATTTACTAGTTTTTCCTCATTTTTTCTGTAGAATATAATCATCACGAAAGTGTATGTTACTTGTTACTATTGAAATATGAGAGTCTAGAATAAAATGGGAACTTAGCACCCTCATCCATTCCTTGAGAAATGTTTATAATTCTATGAGAATGTAAATAGTTTCACAGTAATTGTTTTCCAGTTAGAATATTCTAACTTAATTGCAGCGCAGTCTCTTTAATTTCTTGTTCATTAATTTTTAACTAACTTCATAAAAGAATAAGAATAAAAAAATATGATTTATTTAAAAAAAAATGGGAACTTAGCAAACAGGTGTTCAGTGAATAAGTGAATGGATATCATAGTACACAGTGCAGATATTGATACATGTTTTAATAAGACAGAGAAACTGGAGTTGAGAGAAATGTAATGAAGCATGACTTGAATTCTGCTAATACATGGTTGATCCAGAACTGGAGGCCAGGTGGTCTCACTTACCCTATGTCTTTTACTGGGGTGAAATTAAGGAACCAGCCTCTACTTAAATCATCCTCCAAAGCTACAGTTTCTTTACCTGGCACTGTAGTGGCAGAAGACACTCCACAGAATATGTAATAAATTGTTGGATTAATCTTGAAACTACTTCACTGCCTAGGATAATGTCAGAGTTAAGGTTATTGGCTATTTTAAGATGGAATTTACTCTCAGTCATATACCCAGGCTTCCAGAAGTTGAGTATATTATGACTGACAGCTTATTTTATTCCTTAGTCACCTCATTTAATTATGCATCTGATCTATCAGGCCAAAATGTTACACACAAAAGTACGAATGGAGTGAGGAGAGAGAGAATAAAATTATCTTAAAGCATTTGTCTCCTATGTGGAATAAAGAATCCAGACGAGGCATAAAAATGGGTAAAAGCAGGAGAGCACAAATGATTATCACATTGTATCCCCTAAAGGTGTCTGTTTGGGGAGTAAAACCCAGTCTGTGTTCTGTTTGCCAAGCCCTGGGCCCTGGAACACTGATGGATCAGACAAAAAGAAAGCTTCACCTATGAGGGGGCACCTCCCTGTAATTTGCAAGAAATCTAGTTCAATGTGTTTCAGGCACCCTGTGAATAAATTTTACATGTCAGGGCTCAGACTCCATTACATACTTGGGAACTACAGGAAGGAAACAGATAAAGAAAGCAGAATCCCACTGTGAGAGGATGAGGGGAGGGGATTCCCTTCAAAACTCTTGAACTAGAACTCTTGATAAGGCAGAAAGCAGTGCCCTGGGAGGTCAAGGCACTACCTTTAATCCTGTTCATAGCAGTTCGCATTTCAGTATGAAAACAGGTAGGTGCGAACATTCTTGAGGTTAATGGTGCCTGGAATTAGCTGGTTTGTTTCCTTTAGCATGTATATTTACTTTTCATGTCCATTGAGTTCACTAAATGTTGTTATTGCAACCTCTGGTATTTGACTTGTGCTAGAAATTCATTTTCTAGCTGGGAAAGAAATATTGCTTAAAGTACTTACACTGCCCTGAGATTTCTTCAGCTTCTGTCATAAGGTAGACATTTGTGACCCACCCCAAAATTTCTCAGCAAAGGTTTGCTTGCTTTCACTCACGTACTGAAAGACCATCTAGGGAAACTACACCCATGTTTAACTACCCCTGTAATTCTGTATCTTCTTGCTAGAGAGGGTATGCTCCTGAGGCTGAAGGGACCATTGCACAGACACCTGTATTTTCCTCCTTTGTTTGGTGTTGGTAAAATTACTGGGTCACTTCTCATTTGAGTTCCAATTTCTTCAAAGACAGAGGGTTCTGGCATTTTTCTTAATTTAATCCAATGGGCTGTGAGGATCACATGCAAAATACATGAAAGAAACTCTTGCATAGTGCTACATGCCTATTGTCCCAGTCACCCAAGATTGGAGCCTAGGTGTTCAAGATAAGCCTGTACCGCAACAAGACCCCATCTCAAAACAAGACAAAACCAAATCCTTGGCAGGTGACCAGGTTGCTGTGTTTTTTTAAAAAAAGTTCAATAATGGTTGCAAGAGAGGTAAACTTCTTTGAAAGTATATCTTTCTTTGAAATTATGTATTTTCTACTTAGACCACACCGTGTATCTTTATGTTGTGAATCATCCTCACATAGAGTCCACTGTGGAGATATTTAAATTTGAGGAACAACAGCGTTCTCTCACACACCTGAAAACTATAAAGCATGAACTTCTCAAGAGGTATGAAATTTAAGTATTGTGTATTTCTATTTATTTTGCACCTCTGCTATGTGCATTGTGTTCTTTGGTTCAGTCAGTAGGCATTCTCCATCTTTTGTTTTGTGACATTTTTTTTTCTAAAGCTTTCTAAAGCTTCCCATGGTGGTACTGCCCAGCACCTCACTATAAATTGCTGTGTTTGGTATTGAATATCTCTATATTTTCCAACTTTTTGAAAGCACTTTAATCCCATAAAGGTGCTCAATTAGATTCTCCGCTCTAATTCCAACCTCTTTACCACAGCAACTCAATACCCACTACTGTGCTCTCTTTAAACACCTACTCCCTTTTCTAGTTGTCCTGGTAGGTTGTATTCTGTGAGCCTCACCCACTAGGTGTTACAACCAACCTCCAGATGGGTTATTTCTTTGCATCAAATTCTTTAAAGAAAAATTTGATAAAAGCCTATAGACACTTATAAAAATTACATTTATTAAGTGTTGACTGAGTTTCAAGTACTATGCCAAAATATTTAATTTAATGCTCACATAGTCTTTTGAAATAAGTGTGAGTAAACTGAGTCTCAGAAAAGTTGTGGGTCAGGTAACTTGTCCTGTTTAGTTTGTGACTGGCATGAGCATTATATAAGCCTGGGTCCATTTGAATTCAAAGCTGAACTCTCATTTGAAGTGGTCAACATCCTTCTTACTGCATTCAGAAAAATATGTCTTCAGTGGATAGACTATTTCAAGTCTGAAACAAATGATAAATAATTTCATTTTTATGAAATAGACTCGGCACTAAAGGGCAGGTCCAAACAGTCAAGGAAACGAAGACTAGGGAAAGAAAAGGAAGGAAGTTGATCTCCGTTGCTCTCTTTTTCAACATCTCCTGTGAATTTCTCCCCATAGAAATTGAGGGCAGTAAAAGCAGAAGGTTAAAGAAATAAGGGAAGTTGAAGTTATTGAACTTTTTCCGTAATGTGTCGTGTCAGCCATAGTAGATCAGGGTCACAGGCAGGATTGCTGGGAAACTGGATGAGACAGCCTTTGCCTCAATTTCATCCGTAAAATGAGAATTTTTGCATTGACCTGGTTCACCTCATTGGTGGATCATGCGGAACATATGAGCCCACAGGAGGATTTCCTAGAAAACACTGCCTGAGGAAGAACCTGATATGGGGGTGTTCAATACCATAAATGTGAGTCAGAGACCAATTTGACATAAAGAAGAGGGAATGTTATGAGTTGAATTATACCCCACAAAACAGATATGCTGAAATTCCTACTGGGAATGAATACTTTAGAATATGACCTTACCTGGAGATAGGTTCATTGCAGAGGTAATTTAAGATGAAGTAAAGGAACATTCTAAATCCAGCATGGCTTCTTACTTATAAGATGGTAGACCAAGGGCTGCAGAGATGGTTCAGTGGTTAAGAGCACTGTCTGCTCTTCCAGAGGACATGGGCTCAGTTTCCAGCACCCACATGGCAGCTAACAACCACCCACAACTCTACTTCCAGGGTATCTAACACCTTCTTCTGGCCTCCACAGATATTGCATGCATGTGGCACACTTACATACATGCAGGAAAAACACTGTACACATAAAAATAAATTAATACTTTTTTCTAAAAAAAGAAGACAGACCAATACATAAGGAGAATGGCATGCAAAAATGGAGTCTAACAGTGGAGAGGGAGATATCCTCAATCCAAAGAAAGCAGGAGCTAGAAAAGACATAGACAGATCTTTCCACAGAAGCCACACTTGATTTCAGACCCTTACCCTATAGAACTGTGAGGGAGTGACTTCTGTTGTTTTAATTCATCCAGTTGATGGTAGTTTACTATGTCAGCCTTGGGAAATTCATACATTAAATAGTCATGCAAATGCCTTGTCAAGTCAACCACTGTTAAGTGCAATTGACCACTTGAAATCATGGAATTATCCTCCAAAGGCAACATAAGCCTCATTTCACAACAATCTGACCAAGACAATAAAGAGATATGAGTTTATACTACAGCCCCAATCTCCCCTTAATCAAAGGTGCCACAAGGGCCCGTCCCACCTTTACATGCCCAGTTGTACATGCATACATCAAGCCTGGTGGTATCCTGAGCTTTGACAACAAGAAGTCTAAGAGACTATAGGCCCACAGCAGGCATAAGGTAAGGAAGGTGCTGGGAAGTGACACCCACACCCCGCAGAAGCAATTGAACTTGTTCCTACTTGGCAGCAGAACAAAGAGGGTAAGGTTAAAGGATCTAAACAGGGGCTCTAGAGGTGCCATGATACATACATTGACCAAACAAGTACACAGGACAGAACAAAGTGTTACAGAAGAAACTATGTAGGGCACAAGATAAGACAGTATTGTGATTTACTGTGTCATGCAAGAGCTTTGGAGAGAAGGAACACTCAGGCTGAATTGGGAAACATGAACAGCCCAGTGACCTGAGAATACAGTTAGGCATCAAGACAGTGAATTTCTCCTAATTCATCCAAATTTCTTTCCTTAGCTTATTTTTATATATATATATATATATATATATATATATATATATATATATTAATCTTTGGGCTGGTGAACTGGCTCCATAGATACAGGTACATGCTGCAAGTCCTGATGCCCTGACTTTGAGCCCCTGAACACACATGGTAAAAGGAAAGAACTGACTCTTACATGTCGTCCTTTGACCCCTACACCCTCCCCCTGTGGTACATGCATGCATGTGCAAGTACATGTATGTATGCAGACACATAAACATATGATGAATAAATAAATGTATAAAACCTTCAGTCTTTTAAATTTATTGTTTCCTTTTCCAAAATGGAAATGCCTTTGTTATTTTCACTGGTTGCATTATAAGATTGTTTTAAAATCATTTAGCTGGGGCTGGAGAGATGGCTCACAGGTGCAGAGCACTGGCTGCTCTTACAAATGACCTGGGTTTGATTCCCAGCACCTACATGGCAGCTAACAACTGTTCATAGCTCCAGTTCCAAGGGAATTTGACACCCTCTTCTGACCTCCATGGGCATGGCACAGCATGGGCACACTTACACACATATAGGCAATACATTCATACACATAAAATAAAAATAATACATAAAATATTAAGAAAAATAATTTAGCTGGACTTGGTAGCACACACCTTTAATCCCAGCACTCAGGAGGCAGAGGCAGGCAGATCTCTGAGATCTAAGCCAGTCTGGTCTACATAGTAAGTTCTAGGTCAGCTGTAGCTGAAGGGAGACCAAAAAAAATTATGTAATTTAAAAATCTTAACGGTATCAAAGAACAAAAGGAAGACTAGCAGTCATTGTCATTACCAACTTAGAGAAATGATAGAGGTCACGAGAGATTTGTTTAGGCTCCAATAAAAGGAAGGAAAGCCTGTGGCTCAAAGCCACATGATTTGGTTTCGTCTCCTTACTCAGTAGGTAATTAAGGGACCCAGTTTCATATTTTCTTCATTTAGGGCCCTAGGAGAACCACAATTCTATACCATCAGAATTGCTTGTTGTTATGAAAACATGATATAAGACTTTGGTTCTCCAAGTCTTCCATTAAGAGACACACATGGCATCAGGGGAGGTGGCTCAGTCAGTAAAGTGCCTGTCTGGCAAGTATGGGCAACTGAGTTTGATCCTTAGTACCCATGTTAAAGAAGGTAAGCATGGTGGTATGTACTTTTAATCCTAGTGCAGGGGAGGCAAAGACAGGTGGATCCTTCCTACCCTACTTGGAGAGTGTCAGGCCAACAAGAGGCCTCAAAAATCAAGGTAGACATCACCTGAGGCATTTACTACATCTGAAGTTGACTTCTGATTTACACACACACAGACATTCACACATTCACACACACATGCACATATATGCACAAACTCCCACACACTCACATGCACATGTATGTACACACACACACCCAGAATCACACACTCATACATACACACAGACACTCATACATGTACACTCTCACATACACTCACATGTACACACACATACACACACATCCATGTGTGCACAGACACACACAGAAGAAGCCACACATATTTCATTTCATTGGTCAAAGTGAGTCACATGACAGTGCCTAAGTTTAAGACTGAAGTCTAATTCTAGAGAAACAAATCTATAACTATCACACAAAATCATCATTAACATCCACAAATCAAATGCGTACAGAGTTTATTTGTATATTTATTTCTGTTTGCTGAAATCTGTGGATGGAAAAAGAAAATCATAACTGGCTAGAAGAAAGAATGTCTTAAGGTAAAATCTTTACTTTTTTGTAAATTTCTTATTGAATTTTTTCTGTATTTCATGAGACCATCTTAATCATTTTTAATCGTCTTTATATGCCTGTCCCCATTGGCACCCTCCCAAAGCTCCCCACCCCACTGGAATTCATACATTCTGTCATTTGTATCAAGGCCTTTCATGTCAAGTTGGTGTCCCCAGATGTCTGCAGTGCAAGTTCATCCACTGGGGTCTAGGCAACCTGTCTAGAGTCCCTCCCTTTAAGAAAATTAACTCAAATCCATCTTAATTCAACTTAACTTTTTAAAATCAATGAATGTGATGATCTGTGTAGTTATTAGTGACTTTGACAACAACTGAGATATTCAACTACCTTATAGGTTTCTCTCTCTTCTCCTTAGTGTGAATGATATTGTGGTTCTTGGATCAGAGAAGTTCTATGCTACAAGAGACCACTACTTTACCAGCCACTTTTTGGTATTTCTTGAGATGATCTGGGATCCTCACTGGACTTACGTTCTTTTCTACAGCCCAGGAGAGGTCAAAGTAGTGGCCAAAGGATTTAGTTCCGCCAACGGGATCACAGTCTCACTAGACCAGAAGTACGTTGTTTAATAATATTTCTGCCCTTTGCTTCGTCATTTTGAAGGGTTCTTTCCCTTAAGACCCAGTTGCTTCCTTAGTCAAGTAGTCAATATATGAGTGGAGGGGTCAGATGTGGCCGGAGTTCAAACTAAATGGTGATCCTAAGCAAAGTATTTATGCTCTTGTGTTTCAGGTTCTTCCAGTAGAGTCGAAAAACTATGATCCTTGTTCTAAATTCTTACATAACTAAAACACACTCTTTCCCAACATGCTTTTTAAAAGCAGGATAAATATACACTATCTCTGCCCTTGATGAGGTTAGAAGGTATTTAACCACTTATACTAGGTCAGGTTAACCAAAAGCTCTTTTAAAGAGGGAAGCTCACCTCAGACTAGACATCATGATAGTGTAAGTTTCAGGCTTACTGATTTATAATAGCAAATAATTCCATGACTATTTTTAAGCAGCATGAAATTTTATAAGAAAACACCCTTAGTAAGCATTTAAGGTTTGAAGACTTTCAAATACTTTATTTATTATTTTTATTTTATGTGTATGAGTGTATTGCCTGCATGTAGGTAAGTGCACCCGTGTCATGCAATGCCCACAGAGGACAGAAGAGGCCATCAGATCCCCTGGAACTGGAGTTATGGACAGTTGTTAGCTGCCATTAGGGGCTGGGATTCAAACCCAGGTCTTCTGCAAGAACAACCAGTGTTCTTAACTGCTGCGCTATCTCTCCAGCCCAAGTTTGAAGACTTTTAAAAACAGAGAAGTAGCATGAATATTAACTTGTAAATGCAAGATCATAAACAGACGATCCTTGTAGATCATCCGATTTAAAAACACAATTTCACTGAGCTTTTTTGAGACAGGGTCTCCCTGTAGCCCCAGCTGGCCTGGAACTCACCATGTAGACCAGGCTGGCCTTGAACTCACAGAGATCCACCTGCCTCTGCCTCCCCAGTTCTGGGATTAAAGGCGTGCACCATCACAGCTGGCCTCCTTTGTCTTTTTAAGCCTTGAGATTCTTTAGCCTTAGAAGAGACCCTCTTGTTGAAAGGAGACCCATTCAATTGAAAGAAAAACTGTAGTTCCTAAGTAATGAGATTGAGCCTATATATCGTCTAGAATACTAATTTTGTCCCTTTAGAGTTATATATTTCATATTCAAAGCTGATTTAAAACATTTCAATAATATTAACAGTACCACCCTAGTTCTTTTTCATAGTGTTTTAGAAAGACATCATAGTACTCCTTCAAACTAGTGTGAATTTTCATACTTGTTCTCCAAAATAAGAGTTAGTGTCATTACTAACTGATGATACCTAATTGTTACTTAACTTACAGGTATGTCTATATAGCTGATGTGACAGCTATGAACATTCATATAATGAACAAACAAGATAACTGGGATTTAACTCAAGTGAAGGTAAGACTACCCCAGCTGACCCATTCAACAAGGCCTCCTATATTACACTTGACTCAGGGAAGTGTTCCTTAAGGAGCCTTGACTATTTCATGGCAGTGCAGGGGACATTGCACTGTCTTTTTAACATATAATCACAAAGCCCCCTAAAAACACCAGCATCCAGTGCCAGGAAGAGCTATTAGAATGTGGGGAAGATAAGGAAGAATGTCGAAATAATGTCCTCACTATGCCCTCTTTGCTGAAGGTCATACAATTGGGCACTCTAGTGGACAACTTGACTGTTGACCCTGCTACAGGAGATATTTTGGCAGGATGCCATCCTAACGCCATGAAGCTGTTGATCTATAACCCTGAGGATCCTCCAGGGTCAGAAGTAAGTGTTGATACTTCCTTGAGCTCACAGACAAAACTGCAAAGAATGAACAATTTGTTGAGATGATATGGGAGGGTTTATGTGGGTCATATTTATGTCCCAGAACTGAACAAATTTTATGTATGAAAAGAGTAGAGCTCTTGACCTCCCTTTTAGGCCGCAGGAATCAATGTAACATCAGTGCCAGATGGTATGTCCGAACTTTACAAGTGTTTTCTTTGCTATTGGGTATAACGGGGAAAATGAGCTTGAAAATTCATTTTGTCACAGATTGCTGTAAGTATTTCCAACCAGAAGGCAATCTCTGAGCAGCTCCCACAATGGGGCAAAGAGAGGGACATGAATTGAGCCGTCCCCTTTCACACTGCCTAGTATGCACACCACCTAGCATGCACTCCACCTAACACACACATCACATACAAAGCACACATCACCTAATATACACACTACCTAACACACACATCACATACATAACACGCACCCTAAATAAAGGGTTTAAATGACTGCAGCCTCAAAATTAGATTAATTCTTGCCCTTGGGCACTAGTAGATATGATAGTGTTCAATAATGTTTCCTTTTAAAGATTTATTTATGTTATTTAAAATATATCTTCTAAAATAATTTTAAAAGGCATTAAATTTACTATAGCATTAAAAGAAATTGCATAAGGTATTAAGTTTTCTATGACACCAAGTTTAAAAATATAAAAATTCTCCAGGGAATTTAACTGTAGCCACAAATTCTTGTCAAACATATTCTGAAAGGTGTATTCCCAGACATTTATATTTTGCCAGATATGGTTCTAGTGCTTAGGTTCTATCAGAAAATAAAATATGAGAGGTGGCTCAGCAAGTGTAAGCACTTGCCATGTAAGCCTGATTACCTGAGTTTGATTCCTGGGTCCTACTCTGGAAGAAGAGAAGTGACCCCTAAAAGTTTTCCTCTGACCTCCACGAACATCATTATGTGGTGTGCCTGCACTCACAGATATACATTATACACATAATAATAACAACAAATTAATAAAAATAGACAAACAAAAGAATACAAAGGCCCCTATTCTTAGAGCACGGAGAAAAAGGCAATAAACAGTTAAGTGTAAAAAACATGTAAATTATAACAAAAGTTTGAAGATGGTAAGTTCTTCAGGAAAGGTAAGGTGAAGAGGATTAAGATTGCTATGAAAAGGGATGGTCAAGTCCTCAATGCCATTTAATTTAGGAGAGAGGACTAGAAAGTGTGTTTTGTGCAACAGGTTTGCCAAACTGAGAAACTGATTTAAATCCCAGCCTGATCACTGACCCAGGAGATAACATGCAATTATTTTTGCTGGAGTATTTTTGGTTTTCAGTTAATTGTTTTTCTTTTAAATTGTCACATTAGTCATTACATCTTAAAATAAAAAATATTCCTAGAAACGCAGCCTAAATCTAGAATGCGAAGAATCATTACCCCCCAGTTACCAAGTCACCTATCTTTGTTCAGACCCCGTGTCCCACTTCTTTGCCAACTGACAGAGCTTTCTCACAAAAGAAAAGGCACAATGTCGGCTTTGAGGGAAAGCACATGCCACGGTGGAATCATGACAAATTTGTTTAAGATCTTTCACACATCTCTCATTTTGAGTTTGAACATTTGTTCATTTCTGATGAAACTTCTTTCTTCACAATTAGTGACCCCTCTACACTCAGTTGAGTCTCATATTTTCCACATGCGCCCGAAGCTTGAGTATTTTCATGTAGCAAATCTGGAAACGAAGTTGTCAAATCTTCCTTAAGATGAAAAAAAAACAGAATAAAAGGAAACAAGCAAAACTGACCAGAAGTTTCATTCTGTTGTAAGATGTGGATAACAGTTCACAGCACTTGATTTTCTGGTTGTTTTCTTTTGATTCCTATCATGTTGTTTGAGTGAACTTCATCCAGGCTACTTGGAAACCTGAGTGCTTATGTGTTTACTGATTAGCAAAGCTGGGTGTGCTAATCCTGGGATCAGAAACAACCCTTTGCAGTGGTTGTCAGGTTGGATTAGTTGGCTGACTGGGTGCCTCCTCATCATGTTGTCCTGGGATTCTCTCCTCATGTTATATAGGTTCAAACAGAAGACCCTCCCCACAGACAGAGGGCTACTGCCAGCTCAGGAGTTACAGAAGTTTTTTACTGGCTCTAAGGTCCTGCTCTAGGGATGCCTGAACTAACTATCAAGATACTTGGGCTCTCTTTGGAGGAATTTCACTAATGTCAATAACTACGTCAGTTTAGAGCACAGATACTATTAGGACATTAACATCTGGAGAAAAAATGCTTCAGTTATGTAACCTGTAGTTTCTGAAAAACTGTATTTGTCCTGGAATATTTGGGAAGGGAAACATCTCCAGATAGCTTTTACTGGACAGTATACTAATAAGTGATCTTCTCTTTGCAGGTACTACGCATCCAGGATGTTTTGTCAGATAAGCCCAGGGTGAGCACACTCTATGCCAACAATGGCTCCGTGCTTCAGGGCAGCACAGTGGCATCTGTGTACCATGGGAAAATGCTCATAGGTACTGTGTTTCACAAAGCTCTGTATTGTGTACTCTAAATTTAATTTCCAAAAGTCTGTGCATTTGACAAAAGTAAACCTCTAATTGTATGATAAGTGGAACTGTAATTATTTACAAACACCACTGAAAGTGTACTGATTTTTCTCATGGATAAAACTAAAGGAGTACAGAAGGTTATATCAGATCTACACAATCATGAGTCAATTTGTGTCCAGCCAGTCAGAAGCCCAAGTGTTTTGCTCTTTGCCGAGTTTCCCCAAATATTCCTCCTGGAGCCAGATGCATAGGCCCTGGCCACATGTGTCTCCAGCTCACCTAGAGTCTTGGTAACTGTGTAGTAAAATTGACTCGTACTGCTGTGATGCTCTGAGTCTTCCATAGTCCAGACCAGGAAAAAAAGTTACTCTTTAAGTATTTGTAATTCATTCTCTTCTCTCTGTTTTGCCATCTGTCAATCAAGTTTCCCAAACTACAGATTCCATCGTAAGAGTTTAACACCTACATTCAACTTGCAGTTGTGTTAAAATAGAGCCACACAGGGAATGGGGTTCTGGAAATCTGACAGAGACAAACCTTGGCAGCTAGCTTAGAGTAGAGTATGCTGTGTTCATTTGAATACACCTTTATTTGTGTCACTAATCTGCTTGCCTCTGAATCCTGAAATAGGGCCTAGGGACAGCTATTTTCAACCATCTTCAGCTTTCTCTACAGGCTAACTCAACAAACATCTAGTAAGAAGCCTCCCTCCTCCTGACTGGTACTGACAAATCTCAAATGAATGGAAGGATTATGGGCTAATGGCATGTGTTAAGGACCAATCTAAATGTAGTTTGATGAGAATAAATACAGATATCTCTTTCCTGGTCTTGATAACTTTTAACAAATCATTAATGGGAATCAGTGTACCCAAGTTCCTTTTCGCAACTTGTATTAGTGAGTGGATGGTTGTTTTCCCCCTCATTGTCTCTCTTCTGAGGGTGGGGATTTAGGAGATCTGTATATATTCTAAAGAACATTGCTACCGGACATGGTGGTGCATTTGAGGCCAGCCTGGTCTCCATAGTGAATCCAGAGAACATTGCTTAGTTAAAAGATTTGGTGAATAGTTTTGTATCAAGATAAAATACTACTTTTTAAACCTATGTAATCCTTTCTGATTTAGACAGTAAGACTTTATAGTTTTCATTGCTTCAAGGAAAGACTGACCCAGAAGAATATTATAGGCAGTTATTATATTTTAAGTTTCAAAACAAAGTTATTTAGAGTGGGGAGATGGCTCAGTTGGTATAATGCTTGTCTTTGAAACATGAGGACCTTAATTTTATCCCAAATACCCACATAAAATAATGGTAGGTGTAGTGGCGTTTACTTGCAATCCCAGCACTGGAAAGGCAGCTCTCTGGGGCTTGCTAGATGGTGCCTGAGGAACAACACAAGAAGTTGTTCTCTGATCACACACATGTGCACACATGAACCTTCATATACACACAAAACATACCAAGAAGACTAAAAAAAAACTATAGAAATTAAGGATATATATATATATGGTCCATTTTGAATAATATAATAATCATTTTTAAAATTTCTAACCTTCACATACATTGGATTAGATAAAGTTAATCAGACTAAGGGGGAATAAAAACATCTGGAAATGGGAAGACCAAGAGTATGAAGATGCTGATGGGTTCCTGAGATATGCCTCAGCCCCACCTTCAGCTAAGCAATCAACCTCCCAAAGGTATCTGAGGGAGCATTGCTAAGGGAACAATACTTTCTTCCATTGGGAGCACATGGGAAAGTCCAAAAGTCCTAGGATGTCTCCGTGCCTAGCCTAATATAAAAGCGACTGGTTTCCTGGACATGGCAGAGAAACTCTCAGAATGAACCGCAACATTATCCCTTCTTGAATGCAGCACAGTAGTGACCAAATTCCTTTGAGCCTCAAAGGGTCACAAGACATCTTAGGCCCATCAGTTCTCTCTCTGCTAAGACACTGAGAGAGATGATCCCATTGCATGATGACTAAAAGTGACACATTTCCAATGGTTTTTCTCTCTGCTGACAGAGAACTGTTGGGCCTAGAGATGTCTTGCAATCAGAGAAAAGAAGACAAGTGTCTCTAAGTCTTCATGAAGCCCAGAAGTTAGATGGAAACAAGGACCAGATGCCTTTATTATTCTTTAGCTTCATGGAAGCCTCTGGAGTACAGCCGGAGCTCCGGGAGTTGGAAGGGGGTTGAGCAATGGCCTATGTGTTCTTTTCTTATGCTCATCGGTCAGCAATTCAAAGATAAAATTCCACAAGGCTATGGGAAAAATAATTCCTAATACACATTGTGGTCTTAGAGCTTTTAGAGTTGAAGTAGTGCAAAGTAGAATGGATTAAAGCCTTTTGCTAATGGACAATCAGTTACCACCTTTCTGAGTGTTTTGTGGCTAAGACTGGCTATTAAGAGGCCCACTCTCCAGATGCCAGTGGAAGGTTCAGTGCCAGTCTAACTTCTTACACAAAAAATGTGTCACTTTTAGTCTTCAGACAATGAGACCATCTCTCTAAGTGTGCCAGCTTTTTGGGAGAGCTCCTGGCTGGATGGCTCAAGTTTGGATTCCTCCTGGAGTAGTCAACTTGCCTCTTCTTACACAGGATACGGGTTCAGGTTGCTTCACTGTCACTGCTCTGCCCTATCTTCTTCCTTTAACATTTTTCTTCTCCTTCTCAGTAGCCAGCCACAGGTTTATCAACTAGCCTCCTGCCTCAAGACATCCAAACAAATCTCCCTATTGCGTGAGCAGCTGCAGAATCTGTATGATTGTCTTAAACCTCTTCAAGGGGCTTGGAAGAGAAGTGTTCTTCACAATCAAGGCTGCATTTTGGTGACTTAATCCGGCCCCTTCCCCATGTTTCTACATAACTGTTGGAGATGCAGGCTGTCAAGGGAGACACTAGAGTAACGGATGAATGTAGATGAGCTTTCTTGGGAGCCCAAAATGAAATTTTATTTTTTTGTTATTTTTATTTTTTATGTGTATGAATGTTTTACCTAGATGCATATAAATGTGTCTATATTGTACAGTGCCCACAGAAGCAAGAAGAAGGTGTGGAATCCTCTGGAATGCCAGTAAAGGATGGTTATGAACTGCCATGTGGATGCTGGGAACCAAATCCCCAGGTTCTCTGGCTCTTAATCACTGAGCCATTTCGCCAGCCCCCAAAGTTATAGGATTTGCGTGTGCATGGCAGGGTTTCCTTGAAGTTCAGCTGGCCTGGAACTTGCTGTATAGACCAGGTTGGTCTTGATCTTAAGAGATCCACCTGTCTCTGCCTCCCAAGTGCTAGAATTAAAGGTGTGAGCCACCACACCTGGCCTCAAATAAATTTCGAGTATGAGATTTGTCTCCATATACTTGCAACTATTTCTAGATGTGGGATACATGCTGTTTCATTGTTTTATCTTTGAGCCCTTAGAGGCTAACTCTGACCACAGGAAGTCCTCATTCTTCATTCCTTTTATATTTCATGAGTTTCAGATTCAGACTATAGAAACCACTCTACATAGTATCTGGAAAAATGGAGCAAGGGCAGGAAATAAGGTGTTCACATAATATTGAGCATTTCCTTTACCATTAGGCATAAGAACTGGTGAGATGACTTAATAGGTAAAGGCACTTGCCATCTAAGCCTGATGACTTGAGTTTGAACCTTGGAGCCCACATGGTAGGAGAAAACCTACTCTTACAAGTTGTTCTCTGACATCTACATGTTTGCTGTGGCACATGCTCCCTCCTCCCAATAAATAATTTTTTTTTGTCTTTTTTGAAACAGGGTCTCCTTGTAGCCCCAGTTGACCTGGAACTCACTATGTAGACCAGGCTGGCCTTGAACTCACAGAGATCGGCTTGCCTCTGCCTCCCAAGTGCTGGGATTAAAGATGTGTGCCACCATGCCCAGCTTATAAATATAATTTTTTCAAAAATAAAAAAGATGCCGGGCATGGTGGCGCATGCCTTTAATCCCAGCACCTGGGAGGCAGAGGCAGGCAGATCTTTGTGAGTTCGAGGCCAGCCTGGTCTACATAGTGAATTCCAGGACAGCTGAGGCTACAAGGAGACCCTGTCTCAAAAAGACAAAAAAAATAAAAATAAAAATAAAAAAGACTGGCCATAGATCAGGATTCTCATTTCGCCATGACTGTTATTTACTACAGGATAGAAATTTCTGGCCAGTGCTATAAAATAAATAATAAATAAATAAATAACTCAAAGGAAGAGCTAGAACTTCACTGTTTGTAGATGATGTGATGCTCTATATGAAAGTAAAACTATGGAACCAAGAGATACAACATTAGAATATTCAGCAGTGTTGTCAAATATAAGGTAATTCCATAAACTCAAAGTCTAGTAGAATTCTTTAAGATAATAATAAAATTCATAAGGATAATTTCTATTTCTTGTCATATAGTAGGTTAAATAAAGCTAAACCAAGTTGCCTCATTGAAAGAATAAAAGATAAAGGTTAAAATATTGTTAAACTATTTGTAAAAGCATCAAATATCTCACAAGAGAATGGAATCATTAAGTCATACTATGACTTGAAATTTGACAGGTCATAAATTGACCTCAATTACTCCTGCCTTCATATGGGGAGAAAGGTAGAATCAAGATTGCTCTTGACTTGAGAACATCTTCTGACCTAGTTGAGCTTGAGATTTGGATGTTAAGGTCTTAGGGGCAGAAGGAACAGAAATGAAATCCCGGTGAGGAGTCTTATAAATAAAACCTGAGATTCTCAGGAACTGAATATCCAGTAATAATAAAAACAAACATAAACAATCCTACATCTACTCTCAGAGGCTAAAAGAAAGGTTGCCTGGAACCTGAGAAAAACAGAAGAAAAAGTGATAATTATATGCCTTACATTATCCAAAGTTTGAACTCAAATTCTGACTGATTGGTCAAATCAGATCTCAAGCCCTGAGAAGTTGGGAGTAAAGTGCTGATGACTAGAGACTGGGAGAGTCAGGGTGGGCTGTGGGTTTAGGAGATGCCAAGAGGCTGGTCAACAGGTACTGGGTTACAGTTAGATAAAGCTAGAAGATTTGAATTGCTTTTGCCCTAAAATGCCAGGAGTCCAGCTCCAGCTAAGTCCAGGGCCTGAAGGGGTGAAGGTAACAGCAGCAGCAGAAATGAGTGTACCAGAAACAGTTGCAGTTCTAGAGGCTGTTGACTGACCCACTCAGGAGAGGTCAGCCCGAATATCTTTTTCTTTCTTTCTGAAAAAGCAGCCTTATACAACCTTTATTTATAGTTAGAAAGCTTATAATACCGGTAAAGCATCAGACCATAAATCAAACCATGAGTTTGCACAATATTTCTTAGTGTTCAATATTTTTCAATAATTACAGTAAAAGGAAAGTAAAAAGTACAAAGTTCAATGATTAACCTTTTTTTTTAACATAGCCAAGCAATGCCTTTACTGTTTGCTTTATAGCCTTGCGTCTTTATAGCCTTGCAGTTTCTGTTTTGCCTGTCCTCTTTTGCCCTTTAATTCTTTGAATTTAATATTTACAGGTGTATATTTGAGAAAATTATTTTTCTCATGGGAATGGGAACAACCAAATCTTTTTATTTATTGTCTAGTCAATTTTCCAATTTATCTTTTTTCCTCTCCCTTTTGCTATCTCTTTCTGAACGTTTTGTACTCTTTGAGTCATATTATTATTTTCTCTATTTCAATATCCTTTATTATTTTGTTGTCATTTATCTTTAAGGGCTTTCTGTACTGCTTTTTCTCTCTGTAAAAGAATAGGCAATTTTTTTCCAGAGATCATGCACCACCAGCTTTTTACTGACCTAGCTAAT